GGGCAAGCGCCGCCCCTGGCCCCTCCCTGCGCCCTTCCCGGCTGCTCCCTGCCGCCTTCTCTGCCCGGGCAGCAGCAGTCACAGCCGTTTTCCGGGAATGATCCTTCGCCTCGCTCGGGGATGCTGCCGCGGGTCCTGTCCGCACGCGAGATACGCCACCGCCATCTATCGGCAAGCGCTCGGGGACAGGGAGCGACAGGTCCCCTCCGCCCCGGCCACCGCACGCCGCAGGGACTCGGGTGTTGCCTTGGTGTGGGGGTGCCCCTGCAAGGCTCGGGGAGCTGCAGAGCAGGCGGGCAGGGCTGCCACCCCCGCTGGCATCGCGTCCCTGGTGCTGGGGACGGCATGCTGGTGTCTCCCCGCAGCTCGGCTCCGTGGGAGCTGGCGTGTCGCGACACACGCAGGAGCTCTGCCGCCAGCATGGCTGGGACCTGCGCATGGAAAGCACCCGCACGACCCCCCGCTGGTCGCAGGTCCCCCTCTACTGAGCAGTGTTTTGCTCTCTGTGTTTTTTTAACGGAGCACAAGCATCCAGCACATCTTTGTGAGAGACCCAGCACGATTTCAGCGCTCCGTCCCAAAGCGGTGGCAATTCACCCAAGGCCAGGAGTGTCCCCGCAAATCTTCCAACGCCCTGGCACTGCCCACAGCCTCCAGCTACCACGCTTGTCCCCGGCAAGTCCTTGCCCAAGGACATATTTTGAGGGTTGCAATGCCCAGCGCCTGGCACCCATGACAGCTGCATTCTCACTAGAGGGAGCTGTGTGCCTGACCAAGGTACAGCCCAATTTTGGCCCAATTCCCTCCTCCCTCCCTTTTTTATAGCCCTTCGCAATGCTGAGAACAACATACTGCCCAGGTCTAATGGGCACCCAAAGGTGCCAGGGGTAGAGGAGAAGGCTGCTCAGGTTTGCATTTCTCCCGGCACCCAACCCAGCCATGCCAGGCAGTCGGTGCCCTGCCAGGAGGCTCTTACGTCAGCCCCTGTGCCATATGCACCCTGGGGGGATTGCAGGGTTTCTCCAGAGCTAGCACTGCCAGCAGTACCCGAAGGCACACTGGCCCAGGGAGATGAGGGCTGGAACCTTGCTTCAGCTGCTTTTAAGACTGATCCCAGGCCAGGGTCTAGTGTCATGGCACACTGTCATCATCTGTGTGTTCCTGGGAGTGTGACCCCTGTGCCACTCCCATCCAGCCTTGGAGCAGCTCTTCTCCCACCTTTATCACCTCCCCAGTGTGACATGTTAGCTGCCTGCACCCCAGCTCTAGCCAGGCAGCATCTTCCCATGGACTTTGACGTGTAACCCTGTGCTAAATGTGGGCATTACCAATATCTCCCCATCAATCCAGACATGCTGAGAGCAGTTCCAGCCCAGTCCTGGGGATTGCTTCTTCCTGTGTTTTTTTTTACAGCCAAGAAAGCAGGTTTTCAGCCTCAGCTTTACCTTTCAGCACCATGGTGCTCAGCTGGAGCCAGGCAGACTGGGACCAGCCCAGTCAGGGGTTGTCTCTCAGCAGCATGGGTCAGAAGAGGGTTTCCCAGGGCCCACCAGAGGCAACGTCTGCTCTGTGTCCAGGCAGCCCCAGTGCCTGTGTTTACCACTGCTGTTAGGCTGTGGGGTCATGAGAACTTCTACAACTTTATTGGGGTCTGACAGAGCCCTGAGGAATCCCAGAGCTGGGGCTAGAGGGAGGCTGGGAGCCCACCTCTGCGCTCCCCACAGGCTCCAGCCACCTCCTCCCACCAAGCAAGGCTGTCAGGCACCCACTGCAGAGAGGCTGGGGGACAGGAAAGCTCAGGGTAGCCCAGAGCACTGGCAGAGGAGGGGCAGGGATGTGGTTTGGCAGGGCAGTACCCTTGCCCTGCTTCCCTATCCCTGAGCTGCTCCAGCAAATGCCCGTGCAGGCTGGGACCCTGTGCCCTGCGTGGGGTTCCCAATGCAAGAGCAGCTTGGGAGCCCACCGGCTGCCAGCTGAAAGTATGGAGCAGACACGCTGCAGGGGTCTTCCCTTTTGCTCTCAGGGAGATGACCCCCCAGAGCTCCCCTCCAACAGGAATAAGCAACTTGGTCCCCAGCCCTGCCCTTAACCTGTGGCAGCACAGGTGTCTCCAGTTACCCCAGGAAGGTGGTTGGAGGCTCCTGAGCTGCTCCTGACATAGCAAACTCGGGCTGCTTGAAATAGCTTGGGATCATGCCATGGCAGAGCTGCAGCAGTGCTGGATCCATCACCTGAAGTGTGGCAAGGCTGGCAGCACTGCCCGGCTCTGCAGGGCTCACCCCCACCTGGAGGGGTGAGGGTGTTCCCACTGGACACCAACAGCAGGGCAGGGCTCAAGGGGCAGTTGGGCAAGGGAAAGCAAGGCAGCAAATCCCTGCCCATGCTGGATGTGGCCAGGGATCCTGCAGGGAGCTGAAAGGAAAAGGGGTTGTCTCAAAATCCTGCCGGGCCGAGCATATCTTTGTTGCTGGAAAGCCAAAAATAGTTTCTTTACTTGGAAGAGGCTGTCGGAGAGATCTCACCTGAAGTGCAGCCAAATACCTAGGAGGCCGTAGGACAGACCCAGACCAGCGTGGCTTTGCTGAGGCGTTATCAGAGCTCGGAAAGGCAGCAGCTGTAGCTGAACCAGCCAATAACCCAGTTACCTCTGGGCATCTCATCATGCCAAAAGGCTCCAGAGGAACTGGTCCAGCTGGTGAGGGACCCCCCACCACACCAGCTGAGCTGGGGAGCAGCCATGGCTGCCCCTTGGCCTGTGGTTCAGTTCAGGGGATGGAGACAGCAGCAGAGCAAGAGATTTTTCCAGTCTTTCGAGGCCTGGCTCAAGGGATATCTGGAAACCCCCTGGGTGGCATTGCTGGGTCAGCTGCCAGCGCACCGCGAGACCATAAAGGCCGTGCCCCTGCCAGGGGAGCGCTCGGGCCAACTGCTCACATGGCAGCATCTCTGTGCGGTTCTGACTTATCATCTCCCTATTCCTGGGGGTCTCGCTCCCTCCCCCAGCACTTCTGTGGGCAGTTATTCCTGGAAACATCCTGGAGTCACCTTCGGTCATGCCTTTGCCTGCTGACATTTATATAGCTCCTTCCAGTGGCTGATGGATTTAATAGTGTGAATCTCTCCCCAGCCCCAGCGCATGTTTATGCCTTTCCCTCCACGGGGTCTCTCATCGCCCCCGTGCATGGCGAGGGCTAAAGGTGAAGCTGCAGCTCTGATGCCAACAGCTTTTGGCTTCTGGGCAGGGAGACCCGTCCTGGCACAGTTGTACCCGTCTTCTAATGCCCTGCCCTGCCCGCCAAGCTAATCCTCCCCTGGTCTCTCCCAGCCATTTGTGCTTCTCGGATTTCTCCCTCTTGGGTGGAGGAGCCCCAGGGCTGCCAAATCTTGCAATACTCGGGCTATTTCTTAAAGCCCCAGCTCCTGAAGTGATGGGAAAACTAGAGGCACCCGCCTTCCAGTGGCTTTTGTTTCTTTAAGGTTTTTCTCATCCTCCTGCTTGTGCAAAAAAAAAAAAACAGGGACCAGGAGCCTGCAACCCACGCCAGGAAGCAGAGGGTGGGCACACAACCCAGGCAGAGCTGGGCTGCAGAGCAACGGTGGTGGCTGCTCCGTGCCCA